GCACCGCCCCATCCTCCCTGTGGCTACTCCTGCCACGGAGAGATTTCGGCACTAGCCTGGGCAGATCTGGTGTTTACCTCCCTCCCACTGCTCTGTGGTGTCTTCCTCCACAAAAAAAAAAATAATAATAATACAAAAGCAGCTGTGCTCTGGAGGAATTCACTGGGATTTATTGTGGATTTTAAGTGCTGGGGGGAGAGGGATGGTTTATTACCTGTCTCGCCCTCCTCCTGGGGCAGAGGCTCTCTGAACTGACCCTGCCTCTGGATGCACAGGCTAAGTCAGGCTCTTTCCTTACTTTATGAAAGTTTTCATTATCTGGGCTGCCTCCCAGCCAAACTGGGTGGGTATTTCCCTAGTGAAGATTAATAGAGCTGTTTGGAGCTCTGCAAGAAAAAGTGCAATTGCAAAGGGAATTATTGCCCTGCCCCGCATCACAGAGAGCTCGACCCAGCTCACCAGCCCACCAAGCCTGCTGCTGGCATCTCCAGTCCCGCTTTCCAGGGTTTCCTGGATCTCCGAGGCAGCAGCATCCTACCCCACGTGCTCAGCACAGGCAGCAACCATGCAGCTCTCCAACACTAAAATCCACCCGTCTCCAAGGACCAGCCCTGCTGCACGCAACCCAGGCTTTCCTAAATCACTAATCAGAGGAATAAAACCAGGCACCGATTGCCAAAGGCGTGCGGCGACACAGCAATGATTTTGATTGGGATAAATAGACGGGGAGCCCAGACCTCCCTTGCATCCGGCACCCCGAGCGTCGCAGCCATGGGTGCTGAGAAAGGCTGCTCGGTCCGGGTCCAAACCCGTATCCCTGGGATGCCGGCAGAGCTGCCCTGGAGGAAAGCAGGTTCGGAGCCAGCACGGTTGCATGAGGACATGAATAGCATAGTTCATATGTCATAAATGACACTACAGCAATACACATCTAACACCTGATGGTGTTTCCCGGCAGAGCGAGAGCTCACCGCGTATCACAGCTCCCTCGGACTGGAAAAAACCACACTTTCCCTTTGCTCTCAAACAGGCAACTACCAAGATTTCCACAAGCAGACCCCAAACACTCAACTTCTTTATTTGCCATCCTCCTAAGCCAACGCCATCCTGGCAAGGGGCTCTTGGCTGCTATAAAACCTGGATCTGGACATCATTTAAACCAGGGAATCCCTCCCTGGCCAAGGCTGGGGATGATCCGGCTCACCCCAGCAGTGCCACGGTCAGATGCGGGATGTGCAGCATCTCCCCACTTCTGCAGCACTGCCGGGGCTTGGGTGTTTGCCCAACGGCACTCCACTGAGAGCCCAGGATAAATATCCCCTTGTTAGCTCGGAAACTAATAAGGTGTGGCTGAAGGAGTGAGAAGCAAGATGATAAATTACCCCAGCTAATAGATAAAGGTTATTTTAATGTTTCCATTAAAAACTCAATTTTAAGGATTTATAACTTGGTTACAGCTGTTTGCTTGGGCTAAAGGTGGCAGCTAACTATCCGCTTGCGGCTTTCCTCGTTATTTAAGGAGAAGAAGTCGGCAATTAAGAGCTGTGCATGCAGGATAGTGGGTGCCACAAACACGGGTAGCAGTGTGGGGGATTGGTGTTCCCTGGGAGACAGAAGCAAGCATCCCGAAACAGAGGGGCTGTGCCGGGCAAGTACCCTGCTGCCACCCATTTGCTCCCACACGGAAAAATAAGGTCTAAAAAGCAGTTTGTTCCCCCGTATTTACACGGCGTGAACTCCCCTGCACTTCAATGGATTCCTCGGCAGGCTCACCGCCCCGGCAGGAAATCAAGTAAATAGTGGGAAAAACACTCCACCCTATTTTTAGATAAGAGGCAGGCTGCATCGCCCCAGCCCGTGGCCGCCTCGAATCCCAGTGTGCTGCAAGAAGAGGCAATGGAGGCAGGAGTGGAGGCAGGGAGCGAAGCGGGGAGGTTTCGAAGCCCAGGTCGGGGCAGCCTGGGGCTGCCGGCGGCAAAACCCCAACCCCAAAGTCGCCGAAATACCCAGGGGACACCCACTGCACAGCCCCGAGCTGCTGCGACACTTACCCACGGTGCCTGCCGAGCTGCCAAGAAAGGTCTTTTTCCTGGTGCTTTTAGCCATTAGACATTTTTTAAAAGCACTCAAAAAGAGAAGGGGCGCGGGAAGGCCAGGGCATCCCCAGCGGGGATTAACAGCTGTCAATCACACATGACTCCGGCTGAACCCTCTCACTGGAGGACTTCAGGAACAATAATCTGAATTTTCCCTGCGCCCCCGCAGCCAGATTCTGTGGCAGCACCCACGTCCCTCCCCCCAGGCCATGACACAGCCACTCGTTCCGGGTGGAAAACCAGGGAAACGCTTAATGTGATGGAGACCCCTGGGAGATGATACCGGGGACCAGGGGAAGGTGAAGGAGGGGGGGATGGAGATGCCAGGGGGGCAGCCGCATCCCTCCGCGCCAGCACCCGGGGGGACATTTTGAGGCGCAAAGTCACTCCCCCCAAGAACCGCCCTGGGTTTCTCAGCCTGGCAGAGCTTCACAACTCAACCTGGGGCCTGCCTGCTCTGCCGGGGCTCTGCCCGGAGGACGGCGCTGCTGGATGCTCTCGCCGGGGCTGGCCATGCTGAGGGGTCCTGCCGGGGCCACACAATCGCTGGGCACCTCCCACCGTCACCACCCTCAGCCACAAAATCCACCGGAGCTCTTAGGGACACCAGGGAAAACTAGGAAAAATTAGAGATGATTCGCCTCCCCCCGCCCGCCCCAGCCCTAACGTCGGCGTCTCCTTGGGGAGCCAAGCCGCCCGTCCCCACGCCAGACCCCGGGCCAGCCGTGGCCCCGGCACGCGTTCCCCATGGGGCAGGAGGAGGAGGGCGAGCGCGTCTGGGTGCTGCGGGATCCACACCTTTTTAATGCCATGCTCAAAAGCCTGTTTGGCCAATAGACCAGGTCCATCAACTGTCTTCCCATCATCATCTGGCCCCCAGCTCGCGCTGTAAATGTCAATGTAATCGGGTCTGATGCCAAGCGACTTCGCTTCAACAACATCTGTTACATCGCCATCTAACATACGAATGCCTAAAAGCACAAAAACATCAGACATTAGGGCTTAATGGCTTGGATGAAAGTGCGAGGATTGCAATCAAAGGGCTTTGTTAACAGCGGTGGAAACCGCACAGCTCAGGCGTGCCTGGAATAGCTTCAACCCGCGGCCCCGCGCGCTAACGAGCCCGGCAGCGGGAAGCTGGGGAGCTATTTTGGAAAGTTTTCTATGTGGCTGGCATCATGGCAAGTGACGGAGACCGGGGGGTTAAAATTTGCTTCCCCTCCATCGGTGGGGATCGGGCAGTGGGAGCGGTGCTGCACTCCCCGGTGGCAAAATCCCCCTGCTAAAAACCATTTTTTCCCCCCTTTTAATTAATTAGCTAACTCATTTCTCCACCTGGAAGATATCAGTGTTTCCCATACGCTCACGGCCCCCCAGCTTCGGGCACGCCAGCAGGATGAAGCCTCTCCCCACTAGTGGGGACGACTGTGACCATCCCCGAACCCCATCACCGCACGGCTGATGCCAGTGGTGCCCAGGATGGGGAGAAGCCCCAGGAGAAGCCCCAGGCTGCGGTTTGCACGGCTGAAATCAGTCAGGACCCCAACCCGTGGCGGGATGCTGCTGCTGCCTGGAATAACCTCACTTCCAGCTGGGAATGCCAGCAGGTGCCAGCCGGGGTGGTTTGCAGGCAGAGCCCACCAGCCATGGCAGGACTCTGGGGGGGATTGCAGCAGATCCCCAGCCTCCAGCTGCTGCAATATGAGGGTTACAACCTCCTCCGCTCCCCATCACCCTTTCCCTGCTGGATTGCCCTCTCTGCACAGCAGGCAGAGAGTGCCAGGCACCCCAAAGGGCTGCCGAGAAACAGCCCTCGCAGGAAAGGCGGTGCTGGAAATTTCAGCATCGTATTTTGCCAGCCAGGGAGAGTCCGGTTTATAAAAATGCATTTCCCTTTCCACATGTATTTTTTCTTAAAGCAAACAAATGCAGGCAGATGTCATTACAGCTGCAGCTGCGCTCTGGACACCAGTCAACTCAAATATCTCTTTTCAACGCTGTCCCCTACCAGCCAAAAACAAGCTTAGAAATATAAAATGAGGGAGCAGAGTAGTTCCCAAAAACTTCCTCTCTCTGTCATGTTAGCAAGAAAACATGAGGAGAAAGGGCGAAAAGGCTAGCCCAGTGTCTGAGCCGTGCTCGGCTGCGGTGCAGCAAGCAAAACCAGCCAAGGGATGGGTTTTTGTGCTTGCTAAATGTGGGCACATTCATCAGCGAGCCCAAAGTCAGCCCAAAGTTAGCTCAAAGTCAGATCAAAGTCAACCCAAACCAGCCCAAAGCCAGCCCAAAGCCAACCCAAAGCCAGTCCAGAGTCAGCCCAGAGTCAGCCCAAAACAACCCAAAGTCAACCCAAAGCCAGCTCAAAGCCAGCCCAAAGTCAACCCAGAGTCAGCCCAGAGCCAGCCCCAAACCAACTCAAAGCCAGCCCAAAGTCAACCACCCGTGATGCGGGGACCCCCCAGTTAAATAACGGGGGACAGGAGGGAGCAGGGAAGGATGCTGCAAAATAAATGACCTCTTTGCTACGCAGGGAGCAATACCGGCCTCCGAAGTGAGCGTTCAAGGAGAGGGGAAAGGAGGAGGAGGAAAGGCAGGAGCCCATTTTGTTTCTTGAGCAGTAATGTACTTTGCTCAGAGCAAATGAAAAGCAACACAAGACCGCTGAAGAGCAGCCAGTAAAATTAGATGGTAGCTCTCCAAGTGTGACAAATAGGCTTCCCCAACAAGTTGTGCTCATTAATCGCTGCTTTATTTGCGTAATCCATCTAAAATCACTCTCGCTGCAGCTATAGCGCATTTTCCTCCATGATCCCAAACTTCATATGGCTACAGACTTTATTTTTCCCGTTTGCCTGTTCATGTTGTGGGAAGCCCACGGCCTCTACCCTCTGCCAGGTGCCTCACATCACTCGACGCCTCCCCAGCACACCCCCAAGACAGGGCACTCATTAAAGGAAGCAAATTAAAATGGGATTGTTATAAAGTCAACAAGTAACACTCGTCTCCATGGCTGCTGCAGAGAAATGGGCTTGAAAAGGAGCATGAAGGCAATGGCCTGATCCTGCAGGATGCCTTAAACCCCGTCGGAAGCTTTGCCTCGCTCTGCTGCTGCTCGGTGCATGCTTGAAGCTGGGTTTAGAGGCAAGAAGCCATCCCACGTGCTGGGGGGACAGGGGTTGGGCTGGGCTGGGCTGGGCTGGGGGGACTTGCCGCAGCCTTTACAGCCCTCGCCACTCCCCCACTCACCCTCCCCAGGGTTGTTTCTTCCCTCGGGGGATTTTCCCAGCACAGGGAACTGCTGACAGTGCTTGGCCAGGAGTGGGACTCCCTGCAGGCACCACTCCTGTGCAGACACAACTCTAACGAAAGCTGCTTCTTGCATGGCCAGGATGAACAAGCCAAGAGAAGGAATTAAGCCCCAAATCCACCCGTGGGCGCTTAGGTCCGTGCTCCTGATGGTGACGTCTCCCAGCATGGGGTGGTAGAAGGGGTCGCAGCCCCCTTGAGCAAAAGCCCCTCTCCCATTCCAGCCATGCCAGGGACGGGGCTAAAACCCCTGGCGAGGACCCAGCTCCAGGCATTTGTCCTCTACACGGTCCCACCAACCACACAGATGGGACACCACACTTCCATCTGCCCCCGACACCCCCATTTCCCCAGCGGGTGCTATAACAGCCCAGGCTGGCCAGATCAGCCCTGGCTCAAACCAACCTCCAAAAACAGATACACTAATGCAAATGAGCTCTGTGATGCTAATTACCATCAGGATCCAATTTGGTGATAAAGATTCATTTGCTTCCCGCATATCGTCTTATTTGAGGGACTCTGCAAAGGTCCTCCCACCCTGCGCAGCCCCGGCCCCCCACTTCCTTGGTGTTTTCCCAACAAAGGTATTTTGGGGGTCTCCCCAGACCCACCCCTTCTGGGCGGCTCATCTGCAGACATTAACCTCACAAACAAGCGATTTCAGCTCTGAAGCTAAACCGGCGCTGCCAACCATATCAAATGCAACCACCACAAAAACGCCAGCCCCGCCTGAGAGCAGCTGTGAACTTTTGGGGTGATACCACCACATCCTCAATCCACACGCATCCTCACAGCGAGGATGCAGCCCAAGCAGGTTTCCACCCCAAAATACATGGAGCCGGCGTCCCCTGCACCCTGTGTCACCCATCCTCCCCCAAGCCCCCCTGGGGCTCCCTGCAGCCGGGGCACCAAGGAGGAGACTCTCTCCTGGCAATATCTGGGAGAACAGCATCCCACCACCCGCCCTGGGAGCTCGTTGGCATGACCAGGGAGGCCACAGTCCCTCAGGGGGACGGCAAAGGGCAGGGGAGCTGCAGGCAGGTGCCAGCCTCACCTCCGATGCGTGCGTTGTAGGCAATGCCCACGATGCAGTACGAGTTGTTTGCCACCGCCGCCACTTCCCCTGCGCAGCGAGTGCCGTGCCTGCAAAGAGAAATCCCCCATGAGCTGACGTCCCGTGGTGAAGGATCCCTCTGGCCACCCCCCACCCAGCACCCAGAAAACAGCCCTGAGGCCAGAGTGGTGGAAGAAAGTGCCCCACGAGCTGCAGAGCCCTTATCCAAAACCCACAGCAAGGGCTGGGGAATGGAGGAAACTAATGCAGAAAGCAATTTGTTGTTTGCATTTTGCACCTAGATGCAATCTGCTCTTTGCATCTTGCTCCTAGACGCAATTTGCTCTTTGCATTTTGGACCTAGATGCAATTTGCTCTTTGCATCTTGCACCTAGATGCAATCTGCTTTTTGCATTCCTGTTTCCTTTCCACACATACCACCACGTGCCTGTCCCGCTTTAACCGAAGCACAAAAAGTGCATCCAAGTTTTGACATCTAAGCCACGTAGCCCGACCCACGTGGTTTAATCCCTGACCACGGCGAGGAACCCCCCAGTGCCGTCACTTGATGGCTCGAGGGTTCGTTAGCAATTAGCGTGGTTGCCGTGGGCTGGATTTGCATTAAATGCAATGACCCTATGCAAAGCCCATAATGCAGCATCCTCTGCAGCGCTGTGGACGGGGAAAGGCCACGGATCTGGAAGATACCCCAAGGGGGACACCCAGCCGGGGACCCCCGTGCACCCCAGCCACTGGCTCCACGGCAATTAGCATCACGTACTTATTCTCGTTACTGGCATCGTAGCGTGGAGTCGGGTCGTGGTCATTCCCATTGACATCGTAGCTTGCAAGAGGGTCCTGAAAACACATTGCCGCCATTAGATTTGACTTACTAGCATGGCGCAGGACAAAGTGGCCTCGGCAGCGGCGCGGTCCCACTTTGCCCACAGCCAGATGGGCAGTAAATGCCATTTTCCACTTAGTTTCCGACTATTTGCTCAAGACAAATAGTTTTGGGCTGCAGCCCCTGCTGGGAGATGGCTGCCCAGGGGGAAACATCCTGCTCCCACCGGAGACAGCTCCTCCAAACCCCTAATCCTGCTGGGTCCGGCACCGTCCTCCCCACCACCATGGCCATTCGGGGTTTGAGCTGAGGCTGAGTGGGTTCATGCAGGTTTTTGGCCGGAGGGAGGCGGCCTCTTCCCAGGTAGCTGCAAAGGGAGTTTCCCCCAGACCTTCTTTGTCCAAAAACCTAATTTTCTTCTTAAAAACATCTTGAGCTTTTTAAAAAAAACTCTTTTCTTCTAATATGCCAGTGCACAGATTTAAACTGTGTTTATACATTGGAATTCTCCATAAAACAATTCACCGTGAGGACCAGCCCCAGCCCATCCATCCCCAGCCCGTCCATCCCCCAACTTACATAGTTTTGCAGGAGGTCGGGGTGGTTCCTCTCTATGCCGTCATCGAGGATGGTGACCACCACATTTTTGCCAGTGTAGCCCCTCTGCCAGGCTGCCAGGACGTTCATCTCCGACCTGCAGCGACTGCTTTTATCACCGCAGTGCTACAGGGGGAAACACAGCAAGCACAAGCTGCAAAAGGGCTGCAACCCCATTTCAGCCCATCTAAGCAAGCAGCCAGGCTGCGAGCCCATTTAATCAACCAGAAAATATATTTACATCCCACCCCCTGCCATATAACTCGTAGATTTGTTATAACTTTACTCCACTGCCGTTAATCCAGGCAACGCTCTCTCCCTATTATTCTTTTCCTCTTCCATTTCAAGTACTGCGGGCTCTTCGGTTTTGAAGTGCTCATTTCCTTTCTGCGCTTAATTTTCAATGAATTTCCCTGTCAAATACAGATCGATGAAGCAGGCAGGAGAAAAATGAGATTGTAAATAGATGGTTGCAGCTCTTGGATGGGTAAAATGCATCGGTGCTGCAGTGCTGCTGCTCCCAAGCCTTCCCTGTGCAGACCACAACAAGGAGCTGCTAATGATGGTGAAACACTTAAAACTAGACTCTCTTGTGTATTAATTTACAATTTCAAAATCCTGCTGCCAAGCACATTCACTGATATTAAGGTGTTTCATTACTGGACGGGCTGAGCAAAGATTGATGACGCGTTTGATTAAAAATAAATTAACCCCCCTGTAAAGCAGCAGGTTCCTCGCAGGGTGGTGGAGGGGAGATACTCACCAGGTACCACATGTTGGGCCACACTGGGTCATTGAAGGGCAGGGCGTGCGGCTCACCTCGGACCTGCCTCTTCACCCGTCGCTTCACCTCCTGCTGCTGCAGCCAGTCCACCTGCAAGCAGAGCCATGGGTCAGCATCACCCCTGGGCACAGAGCCCGGCATCGCCAATGGGCACAGAGCCTGGCATTGCCCCTGGGCACAGAGCCCGGCATCGCCCCTGGGCACAGAGCCCGGCATCGCCAATGGGCACAGAGCCTGGCATTGCCCCTGGGCACAGAGCCCGGCATCGCCCCTGGGCAA